TTGAAATAAAATTGGACTACAGGATAAAGGATGATTTTCTCTTCCTTCCCTATCTAGTATTGGCGCCACACACAGGGATAGGAATCCCTAGCATGGCCGGCCACAAGAGATAAGGGATAGAGGAGAATTTTGGTTCGAAATTCAAATTGGAGATAGAGATTGGATTCATTCTAGAAGTTTGACTTCTACTCTATAAATAAGAGAATAGTAGAAAATTGTGGACACAATTTTTGGTGACATTTTTTGAGACAATTTTCGGAATTAATTTTTGCCCTAATTTTAGAGGTGGCCGAAATTTCTCTATAGAAAGAAGGAAACAATTTTTCAGCCATAATGGGTTAAGGTTGGCCGAAATTCTCAAGAGAGAAAGGAAGAAAAAAAAAAATTTCTCCAAAAATTCCACATCGTGCATGCGATGGTGTTTGTGGAAATTCGAGTGTTTATTGTAACCCGTTTTGTCTCATGTGTGCCCACACACACGTCTTCGTGGATTATATGAATTGACGTGGAAGACATTGGTTTTCTAAACACAAAGATTGGAGCAAGGACTGTTCGTGGTCAAAGAACTCAAGTTATCATCCGAGTCGGCTTCCAGGTATTTTTTTCTGATTGAGTTCTTAATAAATGAATTAATGAGATTAATTTATTCGTGCATAAATTAATATAATCTATAGAGTATCTCAAAGGTTTTGTGAAAATTTTTGTTATACACGATCCGCCCTTCCCCGCACCACCACACTTCCGCATCCGGATTCGATCCGGAGACCAACACTTATGACCATCGAATTCTTTATACCCACAATCTGATTCCAAATTCTAATGGAAACCCACAAGTCAGTCAACAATGCAAACCCATCGATGGAATGGTTACAATAAGAGGAAGGATGAGGCAAAATCAGAGTCAATCGCGAAGATGACGAACATAACACTGTTAGGGGATGAGTTCGCTACTTAGCCTTTCGTCGCGTCCTTGTCAACACTTGCTAGTGTCATGCTCATCGGTGGCGGATTAAAAACATAATGTGCGTTTGGAATTCGTTCCAAAATGATTTTATTTTCTGTATGAAAATGAAAACGTTTTCATTTCCATTTTAGAATCATTTCTGAAAATGTGTTTGGTAGTTTTATTCTGAAATTGTTTTCAGTTTTTAAAAAAACTGAAACTGCGTTTGGTGGCTTAATTTTTAAAAACATGTAATTGTATTTTAAATAATAATATATTCAATAAGTAATAATTGAATCTAAAAAAAAAAACACTAATAATTAATATGATAAATTAAATTACATTACGAATAAATAATAAATAATTTAAAATAAGATAACTTAGTGAATGATTAGTACAAAAAAAGTTTACTTAGTGAATAATATTATCTTATATTACTGGCGTATATACGAATCTCACATTTGATCAGCTAGATGATTCCTAAAACTAACCATGTGATTACGTTATCGCCGACTACCATTTCTGCTTCTTGTGTGTTCATACCTTGTTGTTGTCCTTGTTGGCATTCTTGTTCTCCCTCAATATATTCTAAGGGCAAATCGACATCATATTGTCTAAATAGAGGATCATCTCGCGTGTGCATCTTAATTAAATTGTGGATTACACAACAAGCAATTAGTATAAGCGATTGTCTTGGCATCCAATAATTGGTCATAAACTTAAGAATTTTAAACCTTATTTTCAAGACCCCAAAGCACCTCTCTATGCAATTACGCAGTGAAGAGTAATAATAATTGAATAACTCTTGTGGTCCCGTTGGTTGGCCACCGTTTCTAAACTATTGAATATAGTACCTCTAACCACGAAATGGTGCCAAAAAGCCTTGCGTGTTGCTGTAACCGGAATCCACAACGTAATATTTTGGGTTGGGTGGCACCAAGAATCGGTTCTCTGGATCTCTCATAGTCTCAGTTAATACTCTGGAATCAGCAGCTGATCCTTTCCATCCGGTATTGACGTAAGTGAATAACATATCGAAACTACACGCTGCCATTACATTCTGAGTACACGAATGTCTTCTTCCTCTATAAACTGTCTGTTGATGTGCAAATGGGACAACCATTATGTGCGTACCGTCTATTACACCAATACAATCCTATTAAAATACATAATGAGTGAGTTTGGATTACTTTAAAATAACACTTCCATTCATCATTAAAATAAATCACAAAACACAAATATGAAAATTGTGTTATGGATGTCATGATCCAAAAAAACACAATTGAAGGTCACACACACACACACACACACACGAATAAATACACACACACATACGAATACATACACACACATACGCTCACAGGGGCTGCCAGCGCCCCACTGGTGCACTCCCAAGGGCTGCTGCAGCATGCTGGGCGCCCACAACATGTAGCATGGTGCGCCCAGCCACCCCAAAATGGCCCAAATGGCCTCTAAACCCCTCTAAAATTTTTCCAAGCAGCATGGCAGCTGGCCAATTGGCTGCCATGCTGCTTGAAAAGTGTTTTTGCATGTCAATGGTCCCAAATTCATGACAACTTTGCTAAAACAATTCTTCAATTAAACAAATCAAACCTAAAATCGATCACTCTCTAAGTTTAGTCAAGTAATTCATGATCTTACTTGGCAATTCTGCACAATCTAGAAAATTGAAAACGCAATCAAATTGAAAACTAAAACCTAAGCACTATCAACAAACAACAAACAACACAATCTCCACAAACCCAAATATGAACACAACTGGCCTAAATCCCATAAATCATCAGAAAATCATAAATAATACCAACCTAAACACTTAAATCACTAGATTAATGTGCATACCTTAGTTGATTTTAGATAGTAGGGGCAGAAATGAAACCGTCAAGTATAAGGAAAGAGGGAGGAGATTCTTGCGCGATTCCACCGACAGCCCAAGGCTTAGAACGGAGAACAGGGGGGGTTGAGGGAGATCGGAGAAGAGGGGGGTCGAGGGGGTGGAGGGAGATCGGAGAATAGGGGGGTGGAGAGGGTGGAGGGAGATGGGGGGTGGAGTCGGGGAAAGACTGATAAGGAAAATGAAACAAGAATGAGATGGGGAAAATGAAAATGAAAACGACGCAGAATCGTTTTCAGTTTTGCTCACTTTTTGGAAACAAGTAAAAAACGTTTTCAATTTCTGTTTTTCAAGAAATGCAATGCTAAATGGGGCTGCCAGAGCATTTTCATTTTTTTGTTCTTGGAAAATGAGAAAAAGTTTTTAAAAACGCAACCAAACAGACACATATAGGGTCCGTTTAGTTCGTTGATTCGAGTTTTTAATTCGAGTTGAGATGTGATTTTATGTGAGAGCTTTTTACTGTAGCAAAAAAGTTAGATGTGATTGTTTGTGAGAGCTTTTTACTATAGCAAAACTCGAATTCTAAACTCGAATCAGCGAAATGAACGGGGCCATAGTGTTTTTTTATTTTATTTTTAAGATCAGGTGTAATCTTTTTCTTTTGTGAATAATTGGGTGTGATCTAATTTCGAATTGTTTTGGTACATCTTTTTGATCTGGACCATTAAAGAGAATAAAGGGTTGGTAACATTCACCATACCGGTAGGGACAAAGTACTTCCCCTACCATATATTTTCCCTAAAAGTATTTATTATAATTGTCCCCTAATAATTTGATCAAATCCTTAATTTAAATTCTTGGTCTGAAACCTGAACGCAATTAAACCGTAGTAAGTTACTTGGGCCAAGAAGATCCGTCGTTGTCGAACGCGGGGCGATCCACAGAATCAGGCAAATTAAAAGCCCATTATTCAAAAAGCCCCGGCCCAGTGGCCCCCATCGCGTTGTAGATGAGTCATCACTACTCACATCTCACCACCACACCCAGTTCACCGGCCAGAAAAACAAAGAGAGAATCTATCGCAGGAAATAACTTATAACCCGAAGAAGAAATCAAACGCAGAGAAAGAACGAAAGAGAAACAGAGACGAAGGCTAAAAAAAAAAAAAAAAAAAAGAAAAAAAGGAAAAAAAAAAAAAAAAAAGGCTTTTTAGAGAGAGAAAACTAGAGAGAGAAAGGGATGGGCGTGGATTACTACAAGATTCTTCAGGTAGATAGGAACGCCAAGGACGATGACTTGAAGAAAGCCTACAGAAAGCTCGCCATGAAATGGCATCCAGATAAAAACCCTTCCAATAAGAAAGATGCCGAGTCCAAATTCAAGAAAATCTCCGAAGCATACGATGTGAGATTTTTTTTTTTTTTTTTTGAAAAATTTGAACTCAGATTCATCGCGAAGAATTTGCTTGTGAAGAGGTATGAATGATTGCGCTTAATTGTTTTAATTTTTTTTCTTTTTTTTCTGAAATTTTTGAAAAATTTAAGGTTTTGAGTGATCCGCAAAAGCGAGCGGTTTACGATCAGTACGGAGAGGAGGGATTGAAGGGGCAGGTGCCGCCTCCGGGCGCCGGCGGGTTTCCCGGCGGCGCGGACGGCGGTCCGACGATGTTCCGGTTCAATACGAGGAGTCCGGACGACATATTCTCCGAGCTTTTCGGGTTTTCGGGATTTGGAGGTATGGGGGATATGGGAGGCTCTAGGGCTGGGGCTTCGGGGTTTCCGAGGAGCATGTTCGGCGAGGACATCTTCGCGTCGTTTAGGGGCGGAGGCGGCGAGGCTTCGACGAATGCGCTGAGGAAAGCTCCGGCTATTGAGAGGACGTTGCCTTGCACTTTGGAGGATTTGTATAAGGGCACCACCAAGAAGATGAAGATATCTAGGGATGTCACCGATTCCAGCGGGTAATAATCAAAGCTTAGGATCACCATTATTCATGTTTAATTGATTTTGAGAATCTCTTCATTATGTGTTATGCCTTCTCATTTGGTACAATTTGTGTCTGGAATATGGTTATTCTTGATCGACGCTTTTACATTTCTTCTAGCTCTGGTTAGGCCAATATGACGTTAACTATTAGCTAGTGCTTTTGATCTGATTAGGCGGTTGTAGCTTGAGTTTCTCACTGACTTATTAATGATTTTATGGGTTGCTTTTCAATGTCTATTGGTTCATGCATTGTGCTAAAAGATTCCAGATTTATGTGAATAGCAATACATACTGGATTTTGCTAAATATAAATGAATCGCTTTATTTTAGGTACCTCGTTTTCCTATCTTATCCTTTACTCAGTGCGTGTGCAAACCATAACCTTCTTTTTTCTATTGCTTTTTTCCCTTCCTATCCACCTTTGCTTTTGTAGTTAAGCATCTCAATATTGTTGTAGCTACAGCTTCATTCCTTGTAGTTGTGCTTTGCTTCCTGTCCAATGTGTTGTGCCATAAATTGGTTCAAACATTTCTACTCCTTGTTAACAATGAACTCAAAAACTTGTAAGATGCAACTCTTTTGTTGACCATCTGCTTAAATACAACAACAACAACAACAACAACAACAACAAATACAAACCTTAATCCCAAATTAATTGGGGTCGGCTATATGGATTTCTCGTTTCCGGTCTGTTCCATTAAACACGAGACTCTCCGGAAGCCCTAGATCTTGAAAGTCGTGCCTAACTATGTCGGCCCAAGTAATTCTTAGTCTACCCCGCGCTCTCCTAGTACTAGGTATTTGGATGTTCTCCCAAGCACGAACAGGTGCATCTAACGATCTACGTTGTACATGCCCGTACCACTTCAGACGGTTTTCCCACACCTTATCTTCTATTGGTGCTACACCTACTTTACTACGAATAACTTCCGTATGCGATCCATCCTCGTATGGCTACTCATCCATCTTAACATACGCATCTCCGCCACACTCATCTTGTATATTTGTTGTCTCTTGATAGCCCAACATTCACTACCATATAACATAGCTGGGCGAATTGCTGTCATATAGAATTTTCCTTTCAACTTAATAGGTATCTTATCTAAGGTATAGTCTTTTATGCTATTTCTTGTTTGTGATACGTATTATGTTGTTATATGTGCATTGTTTTTCCAGTATTTCCTTGGTGGCGATTAGTACAGCCTTTTGGTATGCTAACTGTTTCCATATTTTGAAGTATAATTATGTGTCTACTATCCGGTCCTTGTTTTGTCGCATGTCTTTCACTCACTTTAACATATGTTCAGTGACTTCAGTCAGATAACATTTATTATTTTGAAAGATGGTTAGTATATTTTGAGGTTACGGCATAGCAATTATTATCGTATATTTTTAGGTTACAGCATCTCTGCTTTCTTCAATTTCAGGCTGCGAAGATGCATCTTATTGATTTTGTGTTGTTGACACCGAAATTGGGAAAGGGAAGGGTTTTGGAATGGAGAGGAAAGAAATGAGATCATTGATTACCTCTCTTGTTTAGTATCTATTAGGAAAGTGGAATCGAAAACCATCCAAATTCTTTTTTTAGTGTTTACTGACAATAGAAATAATAATCTCAATAACGCAAGTACTAAAAAGTCTTCATTGATATAATTATTGGTTACAATTTAGAAAGGCTACAAAAATAAGATTTTGGTTTATTCTACTTCAGAGGCAAACAAAATTAGGGGTGATTTAGGTTTGGCTTTCCCTTTCCTCGCTCCCTACATGTAGGCTCCACCAAAGTGGAATTAGGTGGGAAACGGACACATCCGTTTCCTTTCCTCTTAATGATTAGTAAACATGCCCTTAGCATTTTTTTGGTTGACCTATTGGAATAGTAACGCGAATGGTAATGAGATTTGAAGATGAATGACATGGAAAAAGAAATCAATAACTTAGTATGGTTGAACTTTGAAGGCCTGTAAATGTTATAGAATGGGACAAAACTATTCTGGTTTTGAAAAATTATTCTTACTCTTAAAGAGAATGTGTAATTAATTTGATAGATAATTTATAACAACAAAATAATATAAAAATGAAACAAAAAATAAAAAAAAAAGTCTTCCTAACTCGATTAACGACCTCCTTTCCACTTTCCGGTTCATTCATTCAACGTGTTTTCCGTCAATTAACAAATGACGAAGCAACCCCTGACAACAAAATTTAAACTCAGTGGCAAACCCAATAATTAACCAAGTGAATAGCTTTAGATTTCCTTGTTGCATTAGTTATTTGCAGTGTGGAAATCTAAGCTCGAATGCCTATGAAAGGAAAATCTCCAATAACTAAACCTAGAATTCTTATCACTTGCCTATTGAATGTAGAGTGTATATGAGATTGGAGCCTAACCAAATCTCATTGCTTGCCAAAGCTTCTGGTGAAATTGGAAAACCAACTATGATGGAGATGAAGATGACTAATGTTTGTCACGTGCGCTTTGTCATTGGTGGACATACTCAGAACAGAGAGATTAGAGAGATGGAGAGGAGGGAGAAGGGGGAAATTGTAGGGGAAGATAGGACAAAACTTAAGATATTTACTGGTGTGCCATATTGGTGGAATTCACCTACAAAACTAACTGGAATAGGCTAGTAGAGAGAAAGATTAGAGAGGGGGAGATATGAAAGAGAAGACCGAGGACCTATAGATGAGAGATAAAGGAGAAAGAAGCCAAAATTTGTAAAAGAGCAATTTGTGAAAAATGCTTAAAACATAGAAATGCGATAGTCAGTCCCCCATTATAAATGGTACTGATCATTCCACACCAAACCAAACAAAAGAACTGAAGCTTTTCCATTCTTTTCCATTTCATTTCCCTCAAACAAATACAAGCTTAGGTTGCGTTTGGTGGGGCTAATGGGGGAAATGGACTTTGGAATGGAATAGCCATTTCCCATCCCATTGTTTGGTTGGTTTTTAAGAAAGGAATCGTCATTCGATTGGAATACCCTAGCAGCCTTCACTCTCCCTCCACAGCAACATCACGGTGACGTCAAAGGCATCCTGACAACAAGAAGCTCTGACAACCCTCCCCCTGACAACAGTGAGTGTTGTCAAATTAACGGTTTGAGACACAAAATTTACACATAAAAGGCAAAGCCGTCATTTTTCAAATCAAGTCACGTGCGAATCTCATGTCCCGTACTGTTAATTTGATAATGTCCATCAGCTATTGGACTTTCATGCCACTGAAGTTTTGGATGCAATTTGCTAAAGCTGAAAGTTTGGGGTGTGTAATGCAAAAAAATAAAAAATAAAAAAATAATAATAATAATAAATTGAGGGTGCAATTATGCTATTTACACTACATTTTTGGCTTTAGTGTCTGCTATAGTAGTAAACATTTTTCTTTCTGATCAGGCTTGCCCATAGAGACTACATATACTGTGATTCATGTTTACATGAATGGATCTCATGTCAAAACTCTTATGCCACAATTTGTTTTGTTCTGCTTGTATAATTTTCAAACGTTGTTTCTATGTGATTATCCTGATTGCCTGTTTTCTATTATTTGATTATCCTGATTGCCTGTTTTTCTAGAGGATATACTCCTTAAAATCTCATCCTACATTATTTTTCACATTCATGGCTAGACCAGATATTTGTTACCACTTTTCTATATTTTTGGTTGTAAATTGAACGAATTCTAGGAAAATGAACCTTTGCTACTTAATAATTATTTTGCCCGATATAATCCTAACAAACAACACTTGTCCATGAAACTGAGGGTGCTTTTACTTGGCGTGTTGTGTGTGTGTGACTGAAAGTTGATTCCAAAGTTTGTTATTGAGTTGTATTGTTAAAGTATAATAATTATTGGGATCTATGTTGTAGCTTTTTCTTTTTTTCTTTTTTCAATAAAAAAAGAGAAAATTGCTAAACTTACTCTTAGAGTGCATAGGTCCGGATTTTTACCCCTTACTCTTGATTAATACCCTTTTGACCAATATAGTTATTTGACTAAAAAGGATATTAACCAAGAGTAAATGGTAAAAAGTATTTGTCTCCTTGCCCCATAAAAAAAAGAAGATAATCTATGTTCTGCTCGAGTCATGTATGTCCACTACCACCACTACCACCACTACAGTAACTGCTTAATTACTAGGAAGAAAATCAGATGGGTGATATCCGGGTGCTTGGACATCTGAGTTGAGAACATTGAACCTTATACAAGGAGTGCCTGCTTTTGATAAACTTTGAGTTTGATTTTCTTGGCTTGTCATAAATTTTAGTAATTTATATTTTATATTGATAATGTACTCATGTCCTCTGAAAATTGTTATTCTCTGCATTATTCCAGCTCCTCCTATTTTCTGCTGCATGATGAGCACTTATAGTACTAGGCAATGTCTTAGTTTATCCTAAAGGTTGCCATCTAGTGAAATTTTTGGAGTCGGCAAGTGGTAAGGCCCATTTTAGTGCTGCTCTAGCATTATGTAGCTGGTATTCTGTTATGTTCTGATTGCAACCTGTGCACCCTTTGTGGTTATTCATTCCTGATCAATGCATTACCTGCAGAGGTGTGCAAAGTACTTGAGATATACGCACACCAAATTCTACCTAGTTTCATGATGTTTATTATGATTTTTGCAGAAGACCCAACACGGTGGAGGAAATTTTAACAATTGAAATAAGGCCAGGTTGGAAGAAAGGAACAAAAATAACTTTTCCTGAGAAGGGAAACGAACAACGAGGTGTCATACCTGCAGATCTTGTCTTCATCATTGATGAAAAACCTCATGGTGTCTTTAAGAGGGATGGCAATGATCTCGTTTTAACCCAGAAAATATCTCTTGTGGAAGCTCTTACGGGTTACACAGTGCAGTTGACAACCCTTGATGGACGAAACCTGACCATCCCGATCAATTCTATTATCAGTCCCACCTATGAAGAGGTGGTTAAAGGAGAGGGTATGCCTATTCCCAAAGAACCCACCAAAAAGGGAAATTTGAGAATCAAGTTCAACATCAAATTCCCTTCTAGGCTTACTTCAGAGCAAAAAACTGGTATCAAGCGGTTATTAACATCTTCATAAACACTGGTGGTAGCTCTCACTGCCGTCTGTTGAATTTGTGCTCAGATTGCATTTGTTTTGTTTCTTAGTATTTATTCTGGAAAGTTAAATTATGCTTTGTGAAGTCTGATGATTTGAAGAAACAACTGTGTAGGAGTTGTGTATTGATTTCCCATGCTCTCTTTCTCATATTTCCTTTTTCATTTATACATTTGGACATTTCATTAGTGTTAGAAGTTATAGAGCTCTTGAGGGTAGGAGAAGCGCTGACATGACACGAATGCGATTTTGTTGCAAAGGGCCATTGAAGATCCTCTCATCCTCACTCGCACACATTATACCTCGACTCTCGACAGCTTCTTTGAACCAGGTACCATGAAGAACAAGAAGCAGTTGATTGTCTTGTGATAGGATACGGTGGCATGATATTGCTAATTGGTTTCTCCTCTGGTTGGTATTACTAATTGGTTTCTCATTTGGTTATGTGACGCGAAAAATGTATGTAGGCTTTAATTACGTGCCAAAAAGAGGCATCAGCTGTTTTCTGTTCGTCACTTTTAAAGCTTCGAAGACCTGAATTGTAGTAACCAACTTGAATGCGTGAAAAGGTAGACTTTTGATGAGATGTTTGTTTTTGATATTGCTCTTGAAAAGGGAAGGGTGATCTAGACGGCTTGAGTGTGATCTTCGGTTTAACCGACTGTCTCTTTTATAAGGGGTTGAAGAAATTGGTAAACCAACATGCTTAAAGAAGACGTAATTTATTTGTTATCAGATGGGAAAGTTACAACTAACTCTGGAAGAACGGCTTAATTTGGGTACTGAGCTGGTTATTCATTTTATTTTTGGTGGCTATTTAGTCTTCACTCCATTTGCTTCATTAGTTGCTGAAGTTGTAATAAGAAAGGATCATTTCATTTTTAAATAGGTTTTTACTTTTTGTTCTGAGATCTCTCTAGTGTTGTGTTCGTTGCAAAAATTGCTTTTAAGACTTTAAAATGCTTTGGAATCGGGTTTTTAAAAATTTTTATCTTTTGTGAAACTAGTGATGAAATTTCACAAAAGATTTCGCAAGTCATAATATGAACTTTTTTATGAAACATACTTGATAATCAATAATTTAAGAGTTACTAAGTTATAATATTTTAGGATTTCTCTTCCTTTTAAGGAAGGCACTAATAATAGTAGGAGAAATAGAATTTCCACAATGACTGCAGATGTTTTGGTGTAAAATTAATACTTTGAGGGGTAAATTGACTTAAAATAAATAGACTTTCCACAATGACTGCAGATGTTTTGGTGTAAAATTAATACTTTGAGGGGTAAATTGACTTAAAATAAATGATTTTGATGTATTTTATGAAAATAGTACTACGTCATCATTTGATTAATATTGTAGACATATATTGATCGAAGAGGTGTTTTGAATGATTTTATAAAATTTAGATGGTGAAACAAATTCTTTTCGAAGTTCTAGAGACATGTTGAATTATGGTATATAGTTTAAAAACTTTTATGAAAGTAATCATATTTTTTTACGTATAAACCTTATTTTACCAAAAAGGATCCTTATAAATTTTTTTTTTCTAATTAATTCATTTAATAATTTTTCTTAAATGTGTCCTATTCGCAACCCTTTCAACTCTTGTATTCTTATGAATATTTGGTACTTTTTTCTAAAAAAAAAATTCAAATATATAATTGTTTAAACATTTTTTCCTTTACGAGCCTTTCGACTCTTATTTTCTTATATGTACTTCCTAATTTTATTTTCTATTAAATTTGCTAGCTAAAGTCTTTTTTTTTAATTTTTTGTTTTGATAAACATTTGTCTATATATACATAGTTTTAATTAAAACACGCATTTTGATCTATTTATTTTGTTTGCTTTTAAATACCGTGTTTTTAAAATTTATTAATTTTTTTTCCTTATTTTCCCATATTAAATACATTTTCTAAAATGTGCCTCTATCAAGTATTTTTTTTGTTCTTATACCACTTTGAAATAATATGCCTAGAAATCTGATCTTTGTAAATGCTTTTCTTTTTCTAACTGTTCTTAATTTAATTTTCGTAAAATGTGTTCCTACTAAAACACATTTTTCTTGCACTCATATGTACCCTTAATATATTGGCTAATTTTTCTCACTAAAATCTTTTTTTTTTTTTTTTCTAAATATGTTCCACTTAATTTTTTTTGTTAACTAAATTCTTACAAAAATAATAAATAAGGAAAAGAAACTAAATGTCTTAAAAAAATTACATTATCGTACTAAAGAAATTCAAAAAAGAAATACGTGCAGTTGAATTATATAACAACATGACAATATTGGTTTCTCACTCTTGATCTATCACAAGTTTCCATTGATTAAGAGGTATTATTTAAAGAGTCATGTGCACTCGAAACTCGGTGTGCCTTCTATCAAGAATAATGCATGTATTTTTCTCTTTAAGCGTCATTCAAATTCACTGATGAGATATACCTTGTATTACATGTATGTGGTTTCGATCATTGTTGGGGGTTGACACTTAATATACCTTGAGGTTTTTAGAACAATTACTTTCAAAGTTGTCGTGGTTTAGCAAATTGACCTTTAAACTTTAAATTTTGACAATCAACCTCCTAAACTTGTAAAATTATTGTAATGTGACCCATTTTATTAAATTTGTTCAAATTGTTATTAGTTTAAAGGGATTAAAAGTTGATGAATCCAAAGATTTGCGTTATATTTAAATTGAGATGTTAAAAAATTTCGTCGAATGTGCTTTTTCGACACTAATTTAACACAGTCATAATTAAAATGGGGCATATTGCAATAATTCTATAAGTTGAGGAGGTAATTTACTAAAATTAAAAATTCTGAAAATAAGTTGCTAAAATTATATAAGTTCATGGGGTAAATCTATAACATACCCTATACAAATACAAGGTCATTATAGTCAATTGCACTATTTATATACTTTGGTTTTTTTTTTGGTTGGTTTTATTTCAATACTTTGTTGTCGAATGAAAAACTCTCTACAAAAAAACCCATCAATAATATTAGATTCCATGGATCTCATAAATGGCTAGTTACTTCCTCGGCCACCAGAAAGTGCAACTGTGCGAGAGTCGGACTTTTTAAAAAAAAAATCTTTTTTAATTTTTAATTTTATTTTTTTGTCTGATATTTGGATGAATCTGACTTTCAGTTGAATTCGTTGGATGTCCACAAACTGCCATCTTCTACTTAGCTGCCTGCATTACGATTTCACTAACCACTTGGACAGCGCAAAACAATATAAAAAAAAAAAAAAAAAAACATTAAAAAAAGAAGTTGGGGCCATTCTAGAATAACCGAGAATTAAGAGGCAGCCGAGTGAAACTAAAAATTGTATGTCGTAATTCTACAACTGACACCTCTTTCCTTGCTATCTCCACTCCTCAGTTTCAATTAAAAAAAAATGAAAATTGACGAGGCAAACAAATTTCATCCGTACGATCGCCGTACGAGCAACGGAACAGAGGAGTGGCAATAGCAAATTTGAAATTACCCAAATCTCTTTTCTCTCTCCTCTTCTTCTTCTTCGTCTCCACGTTTACAATGGCATTCGTTTCTCAGTCAGTGAAGTTCTTTCGGATCCCTAACCTCCCTCTCTTTCTCTCTCTACAATTCCATTTCTTCTTCTTCTTCTTCTTCTTCTTCTTGTAGATCTAGATTCAATCTGTTTAGGGCTTAGATTTTGATTCCGAGAAGCGAATCTTTCTTAGATCCGGAATTTGACCTCCATGGAAATGGCTTCCAATCCGCGAACTGTCGAAGAAATCTTCAAGGATTACAGCGCTCGAAGGGCTGGCCTCGTCCGCGCTTTAACTTACGGTACTCCAATTCATCATCTCTCTCTCTCTCTCTCTCTCGCTCTCTCCAGATATATTGCACTGTACACACGTGCGTATTTGTGTTTGAAAATTTCTGACCTTGGCTTGCACTTTTTCTCTCAGATGTTGATGAATTTTATGGGCTTTGTGATCCAGGTAACGAGTAATTGCAGATCAGGCTTATCGCTTTGGAAATTTTGATTTTTTGCTCTCTAGTTATGTTTCGTTTCATATCTGTGTGCATGTTGAAGTCGATTCGGGAGTTTTTAAGGTTTTTCTGTACATTTTCTCTCTGGTATTTTCTTAGGAGAACGATAAAGATGTTGACTTGATTGCGTGTAAGTAAATTTGGGGGCTCTTGAACTTAAATTTTGTGTTTTGTCGCTCTAAGAGTTCCTGATTACAGAATGTTTTCGTTGGGAAAAAAGAAGAAGTAAAATGTGTTTAATGAATTTAAGTCATCGAGGGGGGAAAAAAAGAAAAGGGATCGTTGGCTTTTAAAGATTTGGAATCTCTGTCAGACTAACCTGGTAAAAATAAAAGTCAGAGTTCGGTTTGATGTTCTTACAATTTTGGAGATCAAGTGGAGTTTTATGATATTGATGTCGTGTGCCCCATTGCTGTTTACTTTGTGTACTATGTAATTAAATCATTCTTTGTGGGTTTAGAGAAGGAGAATTTGTGTTTGTATGGACATCCAAATGAAAGCTGGGACGTGGCTTTGCCGGCGGAAGAGGTTCCACCGGAGCTTCCCGAGCCAGCACTTGGTATCAACTTTGCTAGAGATGGAATGAATCGCAAGGATTGGCTTTCACTAGTAGCTGTTCATAGTGACTCTTGGCTGCTTTCTGTGGCTTTCTATTTTGGAGCACGTCTTAACCGCAATGAGAGGTAAACATGTCTTCTTTGTTATTGTTGCTTGTGCAATAGATCTGTTGTGGTAGTTTATTGTCAACTTCTTGTTGCATATCGGATAGAAAGTTTTAGTATCTTTTGATTTCATGCTTTTTTTAATTTCAATCTGGTAAATCCTCCTTTGAATTTGTTCTAGGTTGATTGTTTAAATTATTTTGCAAGGCAGGATTCAGACAGAGGATTAGAGTGATTCTACCCTCTGTCCGTCCCAATATGAAAGACATGGAGTAATTGCTAGTTCTAGAGGAATTCCTGTCCTGGGTGTTGATAACTATAGCAGTTTATGTGGACAAGAAATATGTAGATAGCATAGTTGGGCTTGAGCTGATTTCTGCCAACATTATTGTGTTTCTCCTGATCCAGTTTTCCTTTTCCTTTCAACTCTATTGTTCCTTTACGTCTGAGCAAAGCTACTGCTTTGCGTAGAAATTATGAAAGAACATTTGATTTCATTGTTTCTGTTCTTTAAAGTCTTATCTGCACCCTCTTTCCAAAATATTATTTAATTTACCGGTGACTCTTTCTTTCTTCTGCATGTCCCTCATATAATCAAAGCTGGAAATGGACCTAGAACTAAAGAATTTGACGACACTTTTATCAGAACGTGTTAGTGGCACAATAACATCCAGTCCTTTCTGCTTAATAAGATCTATTTACTTAAACTGTTCAAAGGGTTATTAGTATTGTTAGTCCTTAAATTATGAGCATTATGTCACTTTAATCTCTAAACTTCTAATTTTGATAAATCAGTCCCTGAATTTTTGTTTTCTAACTGTTTTGGTCCTTGACGGTAACATTGACAAAGGATTTTTGAAAATTCATAGATAGAAGCACATCCCAGTCACATAATAACTGAAATTCTTACAGATATAGTTACGTTAAATTTAAAATGTTCTCTTCATTGTTGTTAAGAACCCTTAAATTCTACAACGTTTTGCATTTAAGATAACTATTTTCCTTAAAATTTCAGTTATTATGCGTTGGGAAAATAATTGTTTGTGAGAAATTTAAAAAACCATTCACCAATTTAGTGCAATGAAATAAAATTGTAAAAAAATCAAAGTTCAGGGAATAATCTGTCAAAATGAAAAGTTCAGGGAGCAAAGTGACATAATGCTCAGAATTTGGTGATAATAGTGCTAATAACTTTTTAAAAAAAAAACTTTTTTGTACTTTCTCTGGGATGAGTAGGGCAATTTAACTGAATCAACTGTTTTTGGTTTTCTCTTATGAGGATCTCTCATCCTTGTCACCTTGTATTGATTATATTTCATCAATAAAATGTTTTGTTTATTATCAAAAAAAAAAAAAAATCGATTGTTCTTAAGAGACCGTGTCCTATGCATGCATCGGCAGATGTCCTGTGGTCATTTCTTTCCATGTCCAAAACATTTCGTGGTATGTCTTCTACGACCAATCAATTTTTAGATCCTGAGGATGGAGTACACCAGAAAAGCATGAAAAGAATTAATGCTACCTGTTTCAATTGGATATTCATTATGCTGTAGAACGCATCAGCTATCAAAATCTATTTTGAGGCTTGCGCCTTATGTGAGCTGTACTAAGCCATATTTTCAAAGTTTTTATTTTTTAAGTCTCCTTTTTGATGCCTGCTTTCTTTTGCATGAGAGGACTTGATAACATAAATTTTGTATGCTATATTTTCCTACACTTGTCATTTATTCAAATAAGGGAATTCTGTATATTGCAGGAAGCGTCTATTCAGTATGATCAATGATCTTCCTACTGTCTTTGAAGTTGTGGCAGAAAAAAAGCCCGTCAAAGACAAACCCAGCGTGGACAGTGGAAGCAAATCCCGAGGCAGCACAAAGGTGAGGATGTTCTTTGACATAAGTCTTAGGTTGTCCATGATTTGGAATTGCTCGTGATTTTTTTTTATTTTTTTTGGTATTTAAATTGATTTAAGAGCAGCTCACAATGAACTGCTAAGTAATGTTGGTGTAGGCAAGGATGAAAATATCGATATGGAAATTTCAGTACTTAAATGTTATGGATATATTGACGAAAATATCGATATGGGTAGAAATTGATGTAAAATATGAAAACACTTCATTGGGTTTGGATCCCCTTAGGGCCGCCTCCCGTAGTTTGTCAGGGGGGTCCTTATAAGAGGGTCTAAATCCCCCTGAGGAGTTGCCAAGTGCCTAAGAGGCTTGGACCTCCTGAGATATCAAAAAAAAAAAAAAAACACTTTATTTTTAAATGAGACTTTAAGAAACTCTAAATAGCTAATGGTACATTAATTAGATAAACCTCCCAATCAAAATACCATGATAAAATAGTCAATATTTCCACGAAATTTTCATAAAATTTCCACGATATTTGGTCATTTAACACACCACTTTTCACGGAAATAGATATTTCTATGAAAATTTCAGGATATTACGAGGAAAATATACTACATCCCATTTCCATATCGCTACTTTTAAAATACAGAAGTTTCCGTGGAAATGTCAAATTTTCAATTCTATTGTTATTTGTTATTCTGGTTAATTTCTTCCTTCATTGTGCGTATGTGAAATGGACAGGAAGTATGTAAGTTTCTAAACCATTAAATGGTTGAATGTTCTCTGCAGAGATCCAATGATGGTCAAGTGAAAAGCAATCCTAAGCTTGTAGATGAGAGTTTTGAGGAGGAAGAAGATGAACATAGTGAAACCCTATGCGGGAGCTGTGGCGGAAACTATAATGCGGATGAATTTTGGATTGGTTGCGACATATGTGAGAAGTGGTTCCACGGAAAATGTGTGAAGATCACCCCTGCTAAGGCTGAGAGCATCAAGCAATACAAATGTCCATCTTGTAGCATGAAAAGAGGCAGGCAGTAGTAAACTGCCGGTGAAACAGGAGGAAAACGACGTTGTTTCGGAGGCTGACAAAGTAGATAGCTACCCCTCTTAAAACTTTTCAAGTATAGCAATTTGATGTGTTGGTTGTGATGTTTGTTACTGTAGATGGTTTTAATGGGTTGATGTTGCTTTCTTCTTTTGCTGAATATCTATACACATATTTAAAATCCTTAATTTGATGCCGAGTATATTAAAACATACTTATTAAAGAGTTTTCTTTTCTGAGAAATAGTTGAGTGTATTACAAGTGATTTGCATGTGCGCCCCTGATAATCTTTTTGCCGATGCATTCTCTTGCATATTGCAGTAGCCATGGTAGTTGAGTGTCTTATTATTATTATTTTTAAAACTTTTTTTGGATAAATAACACAATTAGATCATAAATTTTAGCAATTTTTGCACTTGCATCCTCAACCATGTTTTGTGGCGTTTAAATCCTTGCCTCTTCAAAATAGTGCAATATTCTCTCTGGAACTATTTCCCGTCCATTTTTGCTGCCGCTAAAAGCCACATGCTTCCTACATCCTCTTCTTCAGGGGTGTTTGATTGAAACAAATACGACGACCTGTGCTCATCCAGCTTCTTCCATTTGTAATTTTGGGTTTTGTATCTGTTGCCAAGACTACAGAAGTCAGGGTGGGAACTGACCTTTGGAGGCTATAGAGTTGGGAAAATCTGGGAGAGTTCAATTCTACCTCAGGCATATATATGATGGAGTATAAGGAGTCACATCTATGTACTCACACTATATTTAGAATATTAAATGTATATCCTTAAAAAATATTAGTTGATCTCCGACCATAATATCGGTATCCAACTGAGATTCTTGCTGATATTTAGTCATATAAGCCAGTATTCAAAAGAGATACTGACAGTATCCGGCGGCCAACTGCAGGTATTAACGGTGGTAGTAGTCGCCGACGACTACTAACCACCAACGCTAACTGAGTCATTCATATTTGGTCAAGATACCGATTGGTATCGGCCAGTATACTAGTCACCGATCGGTAACCACCCAGTCACCGATCGGTAACCAACGAGTTATCGACAGGTAACCACCCAAATCCGCTGGAAACTACCGTTACCGGTGGCTGCCAACCGGAAAACCAAATCACCAAAAAAATCAAAATCACAAAGAAACACAAAACATCCATAGAATCTACAAATACAACATAAAAATTACAAAAAATCTTAGAAAACAAAACAAAAAAATAAAAAAATAAATAAAAAAAAGGTATGGCTGTTGATCCCTCAGGCGGTGGAGATCGTTCCAGTGGCGGAGAAACCGCATGGAGGAGATCTCTTCCATGGCGACCGAAGATCTTCAAGGATCAGAGCTCATATACGGCGACTGAAGATCTGCAGATCAGCGAGGCTCGGAGCTCCTCCACGGCGACCGAAGATCTGCATATCTGCAAGGCTCGGAGCTCCTCCACGGCGACCCGCAAGGTTTGAAGCGCGGCCTTCAACCAAAGATCTTCATCGATCTCTCACGAAGGAGCTGCTGTCAAACCGTTCAGGGGTGAGCTCGACCGCGGAGAGATATCTCGCCGACGATTCTCTCCGGCAGCTGGAAGGCAGAGAGGGAGGGAGGACGGGGGCTCGACCTCACGGTGCTCCTTGTGATGGCCGCAGAGAGATATTGCGCCAACGAGAAAGAAGTTAGGCAACCGAGCTTCGCGGAGATCGTGGAGGCCGTTGGAGACTAGATAAGAGGGTGATAATTGGTTGGAGATGAGAGAGAACCCTAATTCACTTGGGAGTACTTTGTCCCGTTTATTTTACCTATTTAAGTTTATAATTTAAATTTTATTATAGTAAAAAATTTTAAAAAATAATTATATTTAACTTTCTTACTACAATAAAAAGTTTTTGCAAAACTCGATTTCCTCGCCGATGACGACTACACTTTCATCGGAGTTGGAATCGAAGACGACGTCGAACAGCTTGAGGACGATTAATCTTCCCTCATAGCCACCTTTTACTAGCTGTGCCCCCAACCTGAATTTGTTAGTGTCAGAGTACCATGGTGAGCACTGAAGATCCCTCCCAGCCGCCGGCAAGCCTTCCTCAGTCGAGCCACCAATCCTCGCCATCTTTGCCATGTGAAGCCTATCCCCACCTGAGGCAGCGAACTCGGGCGCATCTGGAGGAATTTGCCGCCGCCGGCGTCAGTGATGATCGAGTTCCAAGGATCTTCCTTTTGGCAGACGTAGACCATGGTGCGGCGGAGAACGAGGAACAACAAGGAAAGAAGGAAAATAGAGTAGAAGAAAATGAAAAACGAGAAAATAAAAATTGAGTATAAACCGTTTTTAGAAATGTATACAAAATATGAAAAGGGTCAAAAAACGTTTTCAGTTTCAATTTTTAAAAAAACACAACCCAAACGCATTTTTGAAATTATTTTCAGTATTTGTTTCTCGAAAAATGGGAAAAACGTTTTTGAGATTGAAACCAAATGCGCTCAAAATGTAGCAGTTTTAGGTACTTTGACAAATATCAATTCACGTAAAAATACATGGCAGAAATGTTAAAGGCTCCATTCATTTCATTGATTCGATTTTAAAATTTGAGTTTTTTTACAATAAAAAGCTATCAGAAACAGTCACATCTAACTTTTTTACTACAGTAAAAAACTCTCACATAAAGTCACATCTCAACTCGAATTAAAAATTCAAATCAGCGAACTAAACAAGTCTAATTATTACATAATTCTCTATCCATGAGATTTAGCATCTCTCTCGCTCTCACTTTCTCTCTCATCATGCCTGTAAAAATGACCATCATTTACAAACATGTTGACGGGCATTGCCCTGTCAATTAGCCTTCTTGCTGCAAGTCAGCTTGCCAATTAAATTAATGTCCCGTTTATTTTATCAATTTGAGTTTAGAATTTGAGTTTTGTTACAGTAAAAAACTCTAAAAAACAGTCAAATTTAACTTTTTACTGTAATAAAAAACTCTCACATAAAATTACATCTCAACTCGAATTAAAAATTCGAATTAACAGCCCTGTTCATTTCGTTGATTCGAGTTTAGAATTCGAGTTTTGCTACAGTAAAAAGCTCTCACAAACAATCACATCTAATTTTTTTACTACAATAAAAAGCTCTCACATAAAATCACAATTATCCGGTAATAATTTATATTAAGGAGACGTTTGGTTTATGAATTAAAATTATAAAATTAAAACTATTTTTGATTTACGTGTATTTTTTATGAGAGAAAATACTGTAGCGAATCACGAACTATGATTCAAATCGAAGTACGAATTTCTCAACCAAACAACTCCTAAATCTCAACGAAGGCCCATGTGTTCCCCTTCGTATATGATTGTAACCCAATGTAATTCTCAAAAAAACAAAACCCATTAAACAAATTGATTCTTCGCATCTAGCCAGCCACCATAGCTCCCACCTCCGACGAGCCCAGATCGCCGACGAAGGACAGAAGGAGTCACGCCGCCAAGACCGCCATGCGTCTTGTGAGAGTTAACACCCACGAAGTCATTATCCACCCTCTCTTTGCCCTTTCCTCTTCGTCATAATTTTTTTCTTTTTACTTGGAGAGTTTCTCGGCGGCTAAACATTCCAAAATCAAAAGTAATTCAAGTGTCAAACCCAGATCATACCGTCTCTGCTCCATGCTCGCGCCTGTGGCTGTTGTCATCGTCACGCTTGAGCAGGAGGAGATCCGATGACTTATCATTTTTGAACGTTTCATTTTCTTCGTTTTGGTTTTGATTTTTACATATGGAAGATCAAAATGGGTATAATTAATACATTGCAGGATCTTTTTCATTTTTATTTTGTCTAGATAATTCTAAACCTTTCACAGATTTGGTTAAAAGTTATTTTATTCCTCAAATCAGAGGCTTTGAAAATTTATTAATCTGAATATGCATGGAAGATGGCTCCAAAGAAGCGCCTTTTTTATTTGGATAAATTTTATTTTTACTTTCGTCTTTTTGTCGCTTTAGCTCTCGCACCTTGAAAATTAATATGCACATTTTTAAATTTTAAAATGTTATTAATTTTGCTTATTTTATTAATTTTATCAATAAATTTAATGACGTAATAATTATTAAAAAGATAATTTAATAGATTATTTTTATAAATGTCTCTTAAAATATGTACTATGTTGTCTATTAAAACAGATCAAAATACCTCTATACTATAAAAAAATAATAAAATAACGTGGCATGTCATTAAAAATTAATTAAACATATTATATTCAAATTAAATCAAGAAAATTGATTAAATATTTAAAAATAATATAAAATAATAGGTAAAGTCTTTAAACTGGCATCTACTATTTACCGGATTGAGACGATAGTTGTATAATTCAACATAAATCGTGTATATTTATATGTAAAGATATATATGTTAAGTTATAAGAAATGACAATATATATATTAATCCTCGAAATATGTATTTTTTATAACAATTAAGTGAACACGTAGCATAAAAATAAGTATATTGACTGATTTGTTGTATTTCATGTTAATGAACGTAAGCAATGATGTATATTAATTATGAAAACATGTATTTTTTATAACAATTAAGTGAACACATAGCCTATTAATATGTATATTCGCTAATTTGTTGTATTTCATGTTATTGAATGTCGTTTGAAAGTTTTTTTTTTTAATGTTCTGCTGTAGGAAACGGCAATATACATGTATTTCTTATTTAAATTAAGTGAACATATAACATAGTAATATGTATATTGATTGAACTTGGTTTGGAAGTTATTTTTGCTTGAAAAAGTCTTTAGTCATTTAGAGATTGAATATTGTTGTCGTTCTAACAGGTTGGAAACAATTAGTAGGGAGACACAAATAGGAGATCGAATATGTAAAGAATAATGTGGGGAGACACCTATAATTTGTTTAGATAATGAGAGAAGACACCTATAATTGTCGATATAATGTTTGTAGAGGTGTGCAACGTGATGTAGAAGCATGAAAAGTGACACGCTGGCCGTTCATTGTTTAGTAATTAATGTGGATGCAGTTAGAATGATCACATGTGAGAATACAATATATTAATCTGTGAAGGTGCAAGATTGTAAAATGCCATGAGTCAAAAAAATATGTGAACGTGCACATGGAGTAGCAAAAGCCAAATAGACACGACAATGTATATTTGCTGTCTGAGACATGTGGATCTGATATAAATAAGTGAATAACTGACCTAGTAATGTGTACAATGCTTAGTAGTTGTT